TTAAATCACATTAATTTACTGCAGGATCATTATAAAGCCATTCAGGGATGCTTGTGTACTCAGAAATCACATTTACCAGCTAACTGAATGGATGAATATAGAGGAAATTACAACTTTCTTCTCTGAAATCATAGGCCTGTTCCACTTAAACAAGAGAATTTTTACTGGCTGAGGGCTACTAGGAGGCATACTCTGGAGCTCCACATCACGTCTATAATGCCTCAAACCATGTAAAGTACACTGTTGTAAAATTTTATTAAAAATCTCATTCTTGCTATGGAAAATTACAAAACACAGTGTCAGAAAAAAGATGGAGTACAGTGAAAAACAGAGACAAACAATAGGGGTTAAAGACGAAGGATTGAAGGAAGATTAAAAGAGCCCAATGCATGAGATTTCAGTAAAATCAGATTGCAGGATCACATGATTTTTCTCTGCATTTATCTTTTCTGAAGGTCTTCAGAAATAGAAAATTATTTCTATGTAGTACAGGTGGAAGTACATATGAGAACAGATAAAGTAAAACAAACCCCACAACACCACCAAAATGGAGTTCAAAGGTTGTGATGCTTTTCCAAGCAGCAAACTTTTCAACAGAAAAAGAGTGACTACAATGCCTCTAATGAGCTATATACTCTGCAAAAAATTCAGGAAACATCTGTTTTTCTACTCATAATTATATTTTATTCAGTAATTTGGAAGAAATATTGAAATGTTTTCCCAGTTGTTATATAGGACTTTGAAAACAAACCTGAACAAAGCACCAAAAATAGTAGGGGTAGATAGCATATGTCAGTAGACTAGGTTATATGATTTAATAAATCTATTTCCACAATTGATTTCCATTGAGCTATGAATTCTCACAGAATTTGAGTTGTAGTTTTGAAGTCTCATATTACTTCAATGGAACACAGCTGAAATTTGCAATTAAGAGTTTTTCCTTTTTTTTTTTTTGTGTTTGGATTTAAATAATAAACTCTGATGATAGCAGCATGGGGATGTTTGAGTAAATTGTGTGAAATACAATGTACATTTTTCATCTTGTCTTCCTTCCTGGTCAGTCAAAAGAATCAGAGGCAATTAAAAATCCCATTGTTCCAGTGCAGTAACTCTCCAAGACAGGGAGTGCTTAACTCTTGAAGGAACACTTCACAGGAGGTTTGAGCTGTCTGCAGCTGTCCTCAGGAACCAGCTAACTGGTAGAAATCTATTAAATCATTGATTGAGTGTTATAAATAAATATGTAGGATAATTTGTTCAATATTTTTTAAAATACTTTCTTTCATTTTCTATACAATACACAAATATGTGTCCTTAAGTGTTTTACTGCCTAATATTATAAAATGGTTTGGATTGGAAAGGATCCCTTAAGGTCACCTAGTTAAACTCCCCTGCAGTGACCAGGGACACCTCAATGAGATCAGGCTGCTCAGAGCCCCATCCAACCTAGTCTTGAATGTCTCCAGGGATGGGGCATCCACCACCTTTCCAGGCACCCTCTTCCTGTGTTTCACCACCCTCATCACAAATTTTTTTTCCTATATCCAATTTACCTACCCCATTTTCATTTAAAGCCATTACTCCTTGACCCGTTGCAGCAGACTCTTGTACAAAATCCATTCTCATCTCTTTTAGGAGCCCCTCTAAGTATTGAAAGGCAAAAATAAGGTTTCCTTGGAGTCTTCACATCTTCAGGATTAACAACCCCAGTTCTCCCAGCCTCTCTTCATAGCACAGATGCTCCATCCCTCATCCCTCCATCCATCACCTTGTCCCTCCTCTGGACCTTCTCTAACAGGTCCATGTCCTTCCCATGCTGGGAGCCCAGGGCTGGATGCAGCTCTGCAGGTGGAGTCTTGCCAGAGCAGAGCAGAGCAGAGCAGAGGGGCAGAATCCCCTCCCGTGCCCTGCTGGTCTCACCACTTTGGGTGTAGCCCAGGGTGTTTTTGTCTTTCTGGGCTGCAGACACACACTGCCAGCTCATGTCCAGCTTTTCATCCACCAGCAGCCTCAAGTCTTTCTCAGCAGGTCTACTCTCATCCCTTCAGCCCCCAGCTTATATTGGTACTGGGGGCTGCCCTGACCCGCGTTCAGGACCTTGAACCTGGCTTTGTTGTCTCTCATGAAGTTCACATGGTTCCACTTCTCAAGCTTGTCCAGATCCCTCTGGATGGCGTCCCATCCCTCATGTGTGTCAACCCCACCACTCAGCTTGGTGTAATCTGAAATTTACTGAGGGTGTACTCATTTCTACTGTCTATGCCTTTGATCAGGATATCAAACAGTACTGATCCCACTATGGGCTCCTGGGGGCGACCACTCGTCATTGATCTTCATCTGGACATTGAGACATTGACCACTAATCTCTGGATGCAATTGTGCAACAGATTTCCTGTCCACTGAATGGTCCACCCATCAAATCCATACTCTTCCAATTTAGAGAGAAGGATGTTGTGGGACACTGAGTCCAGACACACGATCTATGCAGCTCTTTCTGTTCCACTGAAGTAGTAACTGCATCATAACTTGTACTGCTCTGGCTGACAGAAGGAGAGACACTCAAGGATACATTATACAACCATATAAAAAACCCACAAACATCTCTTTCCAAGGAATAGGGTATAATTTGTTTCCAGTGTGTAAAAGGTAGAAAAAATATGAACTAGTTTGGGATGAGGAAATAATTTTGAAAGATGGAGATGTTGACAGAAATGCAGAAGACCCAGGTCAGCAGCTGTCTAATACAAAAAAGGTGAACTGTTGACACACGACAGGGATTGTGAAAGAACCCAGCTTGGGAAGTTGATGCTGGTCTTTTTCTGCACTAAGAGGGTAGAATGGGAAAATTGACTGAATTTGAAGTAGCTGGGAGAACAAAATTGGGAATAAGAAAAATCATAGGCACACACCCCAGTCCAGAAGGGCAGAATAATAATTAGAAAATAGCATTACAGCATCAGCTGTGGAACAGCAAGGAGATGTCTCTCAGCCATAAAATCCACCAGACATAGGTAATTGATTTCATAGAAGTATTGTTAAGCAAGCTACTGAAGAAGCACATTTCTTCTTATTAGTAGCTTTATTATAAATCCTATAGGAATCTTGAGATTCATTAAAAGCGAGGATCTGTACATCTTTTAAAGACCATCTGTTTTGCTTTTGAGATCATCACCTTGTCAGGTTATGAGGAACACTGTGTTCAGTAGAAAATAACAAATACAGTGTTAAAATTCGTAGGATGTATTTTTCTAATTAATAATGCAGATGCCTTACTTTCCTCATTTTAAAATCTGTTTCAGGGAACAATTGAAGTCTTTCATTCTATTTTAAAGAGTCTCTTTTTTCCTTTGAAGAATGTTGTCTTGAAACCAAGAATAGTTTTTTTTTGCAGTTCTAACCTCTGATTAATTATTTTTCCTCCAAGTCAGGGATCCTGTCTCCTCCTATTTGATTTATTATTTGTCTGTTTAGAAATCTGACTTGAACACCTTAAAATGCAATATTTACAGAACTGTCAAACTTTGTGATTTATGCATTGTAGACTATATGATTTGTGCAAAATACATCAACATTACTTTTGAGGTTTCTTTCCAAACTGCAGAAACATAAAAGACTTTGATGTTTTTGTAAGACATTACTGAAGCAATTATACTTGGTTGCTATTAAGTTTTATTATGGCAAAATAAACATTAAACTTTGAAAATTTTCAAGTCAAAATATGCTTTAAATGTAACAGTTCAATATTTGAATTACACAAAAGAATCTTGGAGGGGCAGTAGGGAATCTCAGCTCATGGTTTGAATATGGGCACAACACATTTCTCATTAATGTTAATTGGATTTATAAGCTTGCATCAAAGGAAGAATATAGGCTTAAAAGTAACTTTCAGTCATGCTCAGATCTCACTCCTTCTTTGGCATTTTGCACATTTTTCTGAGTTTTTGCTCAAACTCTGTTTTGAACTAAACAGAAGATTACTGTGGATCATAATGATGTATTGTTTAATCAATTTATCAAGGTCAGCATAATTAGTCTACTTACACAGAGTCCTCTGTTCTTTCCTAACAATATTCTGCATGCTCTTACCTGAAGGAATTTACATTAGGAAATAAAAAGATTTTTGTGCATTTTCCCTGAAACCACTGCCACTCTAGTTTGATCAGAAGGAAAAGAAAACAGATGGGTGGCTTCCTCAGCACCCTGTAGCCCAATATCCTCACCCCTGCACCTTTCTTCTTTCAGTACTAGAGACTGGGAAAAGGTTTCAGTAATTAGTTCTTCTACCGCAATAACTTAGTTATTTTAATGCATATTTCTTCAAACAAATGTAAACCAGCAATGCATCTCACTGGGACTATAGTCAAGGCTCCACTTTATACATTTCTATCCATAACTACACAAGTGCATTATGAATCTGCAGCAGTCAGGATTGTATCCCTATTTATATTTATATTGGTATCTATTTGTATACCTTGGGCAAGGAGAAGCTGATTGTTCTGATCCCAGGAGGAGAGAGAAACAATGGCACTAAGTAATGATCCTTTTAGCTGCCTATCAGCAAACAGCTTCCCACAAGGAATCTGTTGCACCAGGGCAGAGAGGATGAGAATTCTTTGCTGGCAACTGCTGACCATCAGCTGCAATTAGGGCTTTGCAAGCATCGGACAGTCCTGAAATCAGGGTAGGATAATGAGAAATAAACCCAAATCTTATGTCCCCAACTCTCCCTTCTTCCTGGGCTCATCTTTACTCCTGAATTCTCTGCTCTCTTCCCCTCAATGGTGCAGGAGCGCAGGGAGTGGGGTCTGCAGTCAGTTCATCACATGTTGTCTCTTCCACCCCTTCCTCCTCAGGGGTCTGCACTCCTCACACCCTCCCCCTGCTCCAGCGAGTGAGTCCCTCCCACATGAGACAATTTCTCCAACTGAGTACTTCCACAGGCTGCAGTTCTTTACAAACTTCTCCAGCATGGGTCCATTCCCAGAGTGTGCAGTCCTTCAGGAACAAACAGCCAGAACATGTGTTCCCCATGGGGTCACGAGTCCATGAGGCCACAGGTTCTGCCAGCAGTCTGTTCTAGCATGGTCTTCTCAGCATCACAGCCTGCTTTGGGCATGCATCTGCTCTGGCATAGAGTCCTCCATGGGCTGTAGAAGGGTCTCCCTTCCACCATGGAATTTCATCAGTAGCGCAACTGCCTCACCACAGTCTTCAACACAGGCTGCAAGGGAATCTTTGTTTCTTGGAACAGCTCCTGCCCTTCCTTCTGCACTGATCTTGGTGTCTGTAGGCTTGTTCCTCTCTCATATTCTCCCTCCTTCTTTCTCTGGCTCCAATGTCTCCTGAATAATGTCTTTTTTTTCCTTTTTATGTATGCCTAATATAATATCTAGGCATATATAAAAAGGAGAAAGGCACTACCACCGTCACTGATGGGTTCAGCCAGGGCCAGTGGCAGGTCTAGGAGCCAACTGCACTGGCTCAATTGGACACAGGGGAAGCTTCTGGCAGCTGCTCGCTGAAGCCACCCCTGTAGCCTCTTTGGGAGAAGCATGCCCAGAAAACATTTATACTAGTGGGCTATCCAGGTCTCTAAGGTTTGGTAAGATTTTAATCAAAATTTTAATCAATTCCTTCCTCTTTTTTTTTTTTATAAAACACAAATTGGTATTCCAATGTCTGTCTTGCAAAATATTCTCCTGAATTACAGACATCTGTCCAAAGAGAATAAGAAGAGAGTGTATATAATGCATGATGTTTGTTGTAGAAGGCAGCACTATTATTCAAGTAGACATTAAAATAGTTACTGCATCATGCAGTACTCTATTCCTTTGTTGGGGATTAGCAAAAGGATTAGACCTTCTTCCTTTCCATTGTAGATCTAGTTTTGATTAATTTTTGCTTTCAGCATATCTGGAATGTAGTCAATCAAGGACTAAATACAAAGTCACTATTCATTTGGTTCATCCTGCATCCTTTGTGTACCATAATCAAATGAACACACATCATACTTCTTTCTGACAATCCTCCAAATTGCTAAGCACCTTCTCTTGTTCTCATAACAATTGATCCTTGAGTCTTTAAAGGGTTCAGGTCTTAGCCTTCATTACAGCTTGTGCTTTAAAAGCTGTGTTGGTAGGACAACAGATTAAATTCACAATTAGTGTTTGTGAATTTATCTTGGCAAACTTCAGTGTCATTGTAATAATTCTCAAGTCTTGCTATATCAAACACTCAGTTGCCAGAAGAGTTTCTATGAAATTGTAATTTTTTTCTGCATTTGTGAGATATTCAATTTTTACTTATCATCCTAGTCACAAGAATTAAAAAAAAAGGTGTTTCATGCTAATCTGGCTGACTGACTCATAGATACACATTTTTGATTCCCCTCTCCTCTTAGAATTTCATATAAATTTGGATTTTTTTCACTTACATTTTAAAAAGAAGCACACTTTAAACACGTACAAAAGAATTTTGTAGTTAGGACTACAATGCAGGGATCATATATGATAAGACCCTTTGTATAAAGGTGAAGTACAGTGTTACAGTAAAGATGGCCCAGATGTGCACCTCAAGATCAAAAAGAAAAAAATATGGTGGGAAAGGGAGAATTGTTTGTTGAAAGTGCATGAAGATTCCTTCCCAACCCTTCCCAAGGTGCCCCGGTGCATCTGTTGTATATTTGCCAATATTACAGTTTTAGAGATATTTACACAAGTGAGCATCTGTAGAAAAAATCCTAGCAGGCACCTGCAAGGTGAAACAAGGTAGTGAGATGCTAGTATCACAGTTACACTTTCAACACAGTAATAAATAATGTAGAAAATAAAAGTTTGTGAGATATTAGACAGCAGGATCTCCTCTTTCCCACAGAACTTTGATAGCATTTAGTTCCCAAACATCCCAATTGTTGCAGTAGTCTGAAAAAACAGCCATTGGAAAGATTCTGTCCATCTGTGCAGAAGATATCAATGGCAATATTGGTTTAGTTTTTTTTTTTAAGCTTATTATCAATTCTATTGGTGAAATAATAAAAAAATCTTAGTTATGAAATATCTAACATTAGATTCAGGCAAACATAATGCTATCTTTCCTTTCAGCTGTTGAAGATAAATAACAAAGTATCATTCTTTTGCTATGATCTTCCATTTTGTTTTGTGGGAAAGGACAGAGAATCTTTTAAACCACAGAATGGAAGCTCATTCAGCTCCTTTTCTCTTTCTTAAGGATGACAGAAACTTATATATAATTTCATCACATACTTCTGCAGTCAACAGCACCTTCACTGCTGAAAACTGACCTTCATTTCTCTCATGGAACACCATCATAAATCCATTTCACTGCTTGATATGGTTGGTTGAATTACAAATTATTGCCTTATTGCCTCTGATTTCAAGCAATGCTATGGTTGGCCTAGGTGCCATATCTGGACACCTCTGTCTCACGGGTGGTTGTCACAATAAATCCAGAATGATTAAATTAGTTATTTAAGGTATATAACCCATTTTATGCATACTGACCTACAATATAATAATAAGGTAAAAAAATGCAGTACAAGTTGAGCTTTAAACATGTTTCCATATAGTGGTATTTTTTTAATGTGAACACATGTAAATGTTGTAAGAATGTGACCCACAGGTCTAGTTCAACAAAGTGTCTCAAAAGCCAGTGCTGTGCTGCTGTCCTTGCTGTGCTTTCTGGAGCACACCTACTGTTTTGGGTAGCGGTAAGAATTTAAATTTTAAGAGCCTTTAATAGCTTGAGTATAATTCTATGTCACGGTTTCAAAAATATCAGCATAATTATTGCTTTTTATTAAATTCTGTATATTTTTAGATTAACTTCTGATTAGCATTTTCAATCCAAGGGCTTTCCTCTGCTTTTTCTTTATTTTGGGTGTTCTTGCTTCCATGAGAGAAATCTTTCTGGTAGGAGAATCATAAAGCCTATGACTTTGAAGATCAAAATTCTCCTCCCTGCACCCCAATTTGCTGTAATTATTATTTAGGCAAGTTTCTTCTTTGATTTATTTCCCAGAAACATTCATTATATCAGTATTATTACACTTTACATGACTATTGCTCATATATACTCATTTTGCACATTCATTCAGACACTAGGATTATTTAAGATAAAAATGCTTTTCTGTGTCAAAATTACAATAACTAACTGTATATGTAAAAGTATTCCTTATAGAAGGACTATTTGTGCTTACCCAGATGTTGGAGGAGGTTTTTGGCAGGCCAAGGAACACCCTTATTGCTGCTCTTTTTTCCGTTAATTCTTCTCAGAGGCATTCAAACTGGAAGACCTCTGCCTGCAGCATTTGCATTGCTTTGGCTCACAGGCACTGCAGAGTCAGACTAAAATCCTACCAAAAAAGGCACTGAACACACAGCTATTGGAAAATAATGTCCTGAGATTGCTTGGCCCTTATCTTGTGATTATCTACTACATTTCACAGAACTTCTATGAATGTTCAGCTAGAGTCTTTACAATTCTATGATACGGTTACAAGGAAGAGTGGAATGGAGATATCTTGAACATTTTTATTCAGATTTTTCATCTGAGTGAACCTTGCATTTCAATGACCCTGAATAAAAATCAAGACTTCACATGCTGACAACCTGCTGTTGTGTGAACAATCCTTTCTTTTTAAAGCCCTCTTAATTGTGCTGAAGACAAGACACCTGACAAACAGCTGCCAGGAAATGCAGAAAGACTTTTGTTGGTTATTTATTATCGCTGTTTTTTCCTTAAATTATTTCTAAGGGGATAATGTACATAAATTCCACAGACTTCCTGCAAGATATTTTTATACAATCTTAAGGCATAATTTAAATATCACAATTTTGTTTTTAAAATGCTTGGTGAGCATTTTTTTAAAGCCAGTAATTCCACGCACAATATTATATTGATCTTGGAGGAAAAAAAAAAAAGATTAAAACTTATGTGCTAAAATTCAATAGTATTCAATATCTGTTCAACAGTCAAAAAGATTTTCTCTTAAATGAAGAATTTTTTTACCCTTAATCATACAGAGCCCCACCCTGGACCTCCATGGGCTGCAGGGGCTGAGCTGTCTCTGGAGCACCTCTCCTTCATCAGTGTCTGCTCAGATGTTTCTCTCACATATTCTCTGCACTCCCTTTAGCTGCAGCTGTAGATTCCTGCCCTCCACCCTGCCCTTACCCCACAGCTGCCACCACTGCCCATCTCTGCTGGGCTCAGCCTTGGCCATGGCAGTCTGTCCCAGAGCTGGCTGCCACCAGCTCTCTCAGACATGGGGCAATTTCCTGACAGCTTGTCACAGAATCCAACCCATGCCAACCCAACACGTTAATATCTGACAAATTTAATATCAAAGTATTTAGTATCTAGTGGTTAAAGAAAAAAAATGTTGCAGCTCTACGCTTTATAATATATTTAAATAGAAGCTACAAAAACCCTCTCACTTTTCACTTTCCTGTCTCTTCCCAATAAAAATTCCTCAGTTCCTCAGGACTTTTGAAATTTTTCCCTGTTTGTTTGAGTTTTTTTAATTATTTTAGTAAATTGTAGATAAACCAGCAGATCTCTGATTAAATAAACAACAATTAAACAAAAGCAGAAAGAATAGGACTGCTTAAAAGCAATAAATCACAACCACCAAAAATACGAGGAAGCTTTATGGATTAATATCTGGGATATGTTAATTGATGCACTCTCTAGTGGATTTTAAGAACATGCAGATAATGCTACCTAAAATGAAAGCATGTGTCATTATCTCCAAGAGTTCCCAGAAGCCCAGTAACAGTGCTAAATGACAGCACAGTGTGAATGTGAAGCAGCTGTGAATAGCTGTTTAATACTATCACTCTAGACAAACAACAAGAACCAGCTAGACTCAGAAAATGTCCATTGCATTTTCTGTTTATTTTTCTGTATCATAAAAAAAAAAGTAGTAAAAAACTCCAATCTCCTCACCTCTCTTCTTGCATCCTGGCATTACAAGGCGTTTGTCATGTGCAATTTTCATGTTGCAGAAATAATTCATCTTGCTCTTTTATGTCTTGCTGACACAAGCATCAATGTGTGCTACATTATTAAACCAGTTGTCTCACTTGGCTGGACTTTAAGACAGAATTCCCTTGTAGCCAAGTGAAAAATACTTCTCAGAGGAGAAGACCTGTCCACTTGGCTGTGTGTGAAATATGTGCTGGAATATGTGCAGCTGCTGAGCCTGCCCAGCTATGTTTTTTGTGCTGCTGTGTTGTGCTTGTGGTGTCTACCAAAGCACTGGAAACCTTCCTAAGGTAAAACAAGTCCCATGGAAAGCAGAAAAGAGTAAGCTTAGATGCTTGTCTGACAGATGCTTCTCTCTGAACTGACTTTCAAAAACATTGTCTATCTGAAAGCTCTCTTTTGTTGGCTGCTTTATGCTGCTTAAATGCTTTAAGTGGTTATTCTCAATGAAATATGGTGATAGGAGAGGGATGGAACTCACAGAGAACTAAGGAAGGGCCAAGGAGATTGCATAGAGCTAAGAATCATCCCTCAGATGACTGAACCTGTAGGAAGAGTGGGTAGCTGAGAGAGGATGTGGTGTCATGTTACTTAGGGCATAAGGGGTACTCACCCTCCATTTCCAGCAAGTTATATGTTTCTTCAATATTACCTGAAAAAACACAATGAATGTTTCAGAAAGGCAAAGATTTTGGAGACATATAAATTATTAATTTATATTATTCCCTTGACCACCATTAGTTTTATATCTACTTGTTTGGGAAAGGTTACCCTCTGTCAGTTAACTGAGTTCTTGCTCTTGAGTTTACTCAGAAGTTTGCATAAATATTTAGAAGTTGACTTCTGTGTCCTCTTCATTTCATGTAGCATAGAAAAATAAAACCCATTTTCTTCCATAATAAATGCACTAAAAGAAAATGAGGAGACACACTGTGCATATGGAATAGTACTTGTTCCTTCAAGACACTTTATAGTAGGATAACATGAATAAAGGATAAATAAAAACTGAATATTACTTTTCCTTATTTTAATAGAAAGCTGGAGAATTGTTGATTTGTTAGTATTGACAGAAAGATGAGCATTTTCCTCTAGGTAAGGATTTGAGTAGTTTCTTTTGGATTTGGAGGGCACTGAAAGAATTGTATACATTTCTATGCTGTTTCATTGTTGCTGCTCCACTGCTCCAGATGTGGTGTGTAGGAGCAGGTATGGTCCTGCTGTGACAAGAACTGCAGAGAAAAGAAAGCCTAAAGCACAAGTTCCCCACTTGGCTGTACTTCATGCTGTAACCCATGTGGAAGATAGACAAGATTCCTGCTCTGTCTCTGCTTTAGTGATAAGCTAATATTACATAATCTCTGTTAAACAGAAGGCCAATATTCTGCATGTGTGCATGTGTGTGTCAAGATTTATACTGTCTGAGGAACTTAGAATTTTTATCTGGAAGCAGGTCCTTGGGCTTGTGCAGAAACAGAGAAGCTCATCCCTGTCCTGCTTTGAATAAAGCTATGCTGAAGTTCTGGCTGGTACCAGGGAAGATGCATGTTTGGGTGAATGTGGAATGCAGTGGATATTGGTTGTAGAGTGTTAATAAAAAATAGAGAATTTTTTCACGTCTCTCTTCAGCTTTCTTGCAGTCATGTCTGGCCAGTAGACCCCTTGCCCATGATTCCAAACTGTGCTTTGAGGGGTAAAGAACCAAACAGCTCTGCACCAATTAAACAGGCTTGATAGCACCACACTACTGGGGCAAGTGAGGACAAGAGTACACATGGATGCCCCTCTGAAAACTGCTCTTTTGCCAATTCTTTTCAAGGCTTTGGGATTGCTTTCCACAAAGTGAATTCCTAAATAGTATGTGGAGTTTCTGGTATTTCTCAGATTTGAGGTAGGATTTATTTGATTTGGTGATGAGCTATTGAAAAGGGTTTTTTTCCTTTTCTTTCTTCCTTTCATCTCATCTGTTAAATGTGAGATGGAATGTTTCATAGTCTCCAAAAGTGGAGGTATGTTTAGGGCCTTCAATCCCTCACTGTTATCCTCTTTTTGATTATTCTGCCTGTATTGATAGGAGGTAAAAGCAAATGTTAATTCAATGAATCTGCTGGGCATTTAGCATGTCAACCTAGATAAAGAAACCAAACAGCTCTGCTGATCTGGGCAGAAGAGAATTTCTCTGCTGTTATTCCAAAAGCTTGATTACTTTGCTGAGTGGAAGTACTGGGCATAAAGCTGCTGGAAAAGTAATCTTGGATCTACCCTCCAGGAAAATGAAGAGTGAAATACTGCAAATAACAGAGCATGTTTTGGCCCTGCAAAGGAATCTTTGTCAACTGTAACCTGGATTCAAGCCATCACTGGGATCTGTGTTGATTCTCAAGAGAAACTGGAAATTACAAACTGGCAATAAAAGCTAAAATAAAGGTATTTCCACTGCAAGAAGCTATGAAAAATTGTGCAATACACTTATAGATAGAAGAAAAAGTCTGTGAAAGAGCCTAAAATTCACCACACTTTGCCCTTCCTGAATCTTTGTGTCTGTCTTACCAACAGTATAAAGTTTAAAATCAAGTGCTGGGTTCTGCATGTGGGATGGGGCAGCCCTGGTCGTGTTTGCAGACTGGGGAATGAGAGGCTGGAAAGCAGCACTGTGGAAAGGCACCTGGGGGTCCTGATCAAGAGAAAATTGAATGTGAGTCAGCAGTGCCCTGGCTGCTGGGGGTGCCAGCCCTGTCCTGGGGGACATCAGGCACAGCATGGCCAGCTGGGCAAGGGAAGGGATTGTCCTGCTCTGCTCTGGGCTGGGGCAGCCTCACCTCGAGTGCTGGGGGCAGTTCTGGGTGCCACAATATAAAAAACCCATTAAACCATTAGAGAATGTCCAAAGGAGGGCCATGAGGATGGCGAAGGGTCTGGAGGGGAAGGTGTATGAGGAGTTGCTGAGGGCACTTGGTCAGTTCAGCCTGGGGAAAAGAGACTCAGAGGAGGTCACTACCACTTTCTAGTGAGGGGAACTGGAGGGGCAGACATTGATCTCTTCCCTCTGGTGACAGTGACAGGACACAAGGAAATGACATGAAGCTGAGTTAGAGGAGGTTTTGGCTGTATATCAGGAAAAGGTTTTTCATGAGAGGGTGGTTGGACACTGGAACAGGCTCCTCAGGGAAGTGGTCATAGCAACAAGCCTGACAGAGTTCTAGAAGCATTTGGACAATGCTCTCAGGCCCATCATGGGATTTTTGGGGTATCCTGTGCAGGCCCAGGAGCTGGACTTGATGATCCTGCCCAGTCTCTTCTAACTCAGAATATTCTATGATTCTTCTATCTCTCCCTTCTTTCTCTGTATCCTAATTCTTTGATTTTC